TATTGGCAAGAGGCTGCCTGTAGTATGTGTGTATTCGCACTTTTTGTTACCCATTTTCAACTCAAGAACCAGAAATGCTAGAAGGCTGAAAGTTGGGGAGTATGCGCCTACAGCATGTACAACCCTCCGTTTTAATATTATCACACACGCACGACTGGGTGTCGCGCATGGACGCCTTAAAAAAATATGCAAATTTTACGGCGGAAAAGCGATCTCGGGGACTAGAAAAGAGGAAACTTTGCAGGAATATTCTTTGTGCATATGTGAGCTAAAGATTTCAAATGCAGCTTAAACAGACATATGCAGTTCGTGTGCGGACGCGTCAAAGTCTGCGAAGCTGTAGTTTTAAGGCAATGTCTCCTACGCACCTTCGACCCAGGAAATTTTTATTCACTCCCCTTTCCTCCGTATACTCAGGTCTCATGTACGGCCCCAGGAAAGTTTTGGCGGGGAAAATTGTTGTCTCGGGAACCACAAAAGCAGGGAGGCTGAAATTTTATGAAAATTTTGGCGAGTAAACTATTATCTCGGGAATCACAAAATCTACGAAGCTGAAATTTCAGGGTAATGGCCCATTGTTCACGTACGACCTTGAGAATTCAAATTCACTGTTCCCGCACTTTTGGGTATCGCTTACGGCCCCATGAAAGTTACGGCGGGTAAATTATTACTTCGAGGACCACGGGATCTAGGGGACTGAATTTAGGGCAATGACCCACTGCCCACGTACGACCTTGCAGATTCAAATGCAGTGTTCTCGCGCTGTGGGGTATCAGCTACGGCCCCGTGAAAATTTTGGCAGAGAAATTATTATCTTAGGAACCATAAAAGCCAAAAAGGTGGAGTTTTGCGATAGTGTGAGATTTCATTTGTCGGTGCGTGAAATTTTTAACTACGTTTCCAATGTTTCAACTATTTTTGCACAGACTAACGTACAAAGTAGTGAAAATTATTAAGAGACAATCGTTCGGTGAACGAAGCGCGCAAAGCGCATGATCGCACCGGCTAGTCTGGTACGCGTTGCTATTTATTAAGTTAATGTTCCCTGACTATAAATGATTGCAGGAGCATAAAGTATCTGTGTGCATCTATATTTTTACTAAAAGAATACTTCACTGCTCCTGTGTAGATGCGAACGTCAGCATAAAAGACACTCAACAAAGCCAGCGCGAACACAAATCGTGTTACCAAACATTACCAAACATTTGTAGGAAACTGTGCAAAAACGCATGATCGCACAGGGTAGTTTTGTGCTTTCCAACCTCCGTGCTGGTGCTCCAGTCTATTCTGCCTCGAATCAAATTGGCAGCAATCGTTCGGCTTTTGGATCAGAGCTGTGCTTTTAAAATTTTACCTTTTTAACCTTCGTGATTCGCACTGAAATGAAAATTACTTATGCTTGTAAATTTTTGCTGAAATTTTACACTTGTTTTGATGTTCTAAATTGAAGAAAAAAATTTTGCAGGAGGGATGTTCAATGCTACAGGACAAGGTGGTCCGGAAGGGCCGAGAGGACAAGAAATGATGGGCCGTGGCCCACCAGATATGCAGCGCGGACCAATGCCACAAATGGATAACTCTGGAAGAGTATCTTTCCAGCAAGGTGGGCCACGAGGACCAGCAAATCAGGGAGGTGGTGGCGGCCCCGGTAAATACTGCATTTGAATTCCGTCAGAGATTCTCGCTCCATGGACAGGGACAGTTCTGGATGGGGGCACTTTGGTTCATAGCGGTGCGTCAGTTCGCTGATAATGATTAAAACGTTTGCAGATCCTACGCTCGTGCAAGGCGTTCAGAAATTGCTGCAGATATTTCGCGCAGATGCGCCAAGACCGGGAGGCCCTCAGCAGTCTGGCGGCGTAAGTTTTGCTTATATTCAGCATTTCATTTTCGATTCATTGACGGTTTTGTGACTACTTATATTTCTTTTATGACATTTACATGTTTTTCTTGCAGCCACCGCCGTTCGGAAGTCCGCCAGGTGCTGGTGCCGGTTCGTTTGGAGGACACGGTGGACCGGGACCAATGGGACCAGGAAGTTTTGCGATGCAGAGTGGACCTCCAGGAAGTTTTCATCGCGGTCCTCCAATGGGGGCTGATTTTCCAGCTGAAAAACGATTACGCCGATAATTTGTGCCGCACATCGTTAAGAATTTTCTCGTAACTTAAAGTCACACGATTTTGTCCAGTATTATTATTAATTGTGTGATAATTTTGCAAGCCCGGAAGAATCTTTGGTGGATGAAGGGTGCATTTTACTTTAGCCATGCCCATTGTGTACTTTATATTTACGCTTTTGGCTTTTCCAGATGACCGTTGCCACTGATTGTTGTAAGTTCTCGTGTGTTTCTTTCTAAAAGGAGCCAGGGCCTCTGGCGCTGTTTTTCTGTTATTTTTTTTCGTCGTTGTTTTCTGTGTTTTGCGGTTGATTTCGTAGAAAAATAAATCTTTGTATTTCACCTCGTCCTTCATACATCCATCACGCAAATATCGGGCTCTCGTATGTATATGCACATATATATGTATATATATATATATATATACATATATGTATATATATAGGTGCAAATATTCTATATATAGTTTTTATGCTATCTCGGTTTCCTTTTCATGACTCATTACAGTAATCCAATCCCCTGTCCCATCTTAATCTTAACAGTTTTCACATTTCTTCCAATTCAAGCTTTTTCTTGATCAGCAACTTTTTTTAACTCTCCTGTCTGGCGCCTTTTGCATCCTCACCACTGGAAAGTTAGAGACATTCCTTCACTTTCGGGGTGGATCCTTTTAAGCTCCATAAAAACT